AAAAAATGTGATTAGTATTGCCATAATGCAACCCTGCTGCGAGGTTGCAAAATGTAGACGCGTAAAAAACATACCTTTGAGTGTGACAAAATGTAGACGGCGTCGTTTTCCAATTTTGTATGGGAAACAACAACACCACAGATTTTACGGTTAGAAAACGTCTTAAAATGTAGACGTCTACATTTTGAGACACTATTTGGAACGAACTGTGAACACCCCAATTTAAAACCCATTTTTTTGTAAAAAGAGCTCAGCAAAAATATTTTCAGGAAACAAAAATTAACTTAAAGCCTTCCGAGCTCGTTCTTCAAATTGATTTTGCCGAGAATTATAGGTTGACGCACCAAAACGAAATACAAAGTGCTCATTTCAGCTACCGCCAGGTAACAATTTTTCACTGGTTCACTGGTGCTTCTCAGTCGTTTGCAGTTATAAACGATAAACTTACGCATAATAAACACGACGTATTTGTTTTTGTTTTAAACCTTTTAAAATTAAAAGAAATTATGGGCATTTTTCAAAGATTTTAATATTTTATGATGGAAGCTGCGCTTAATTTAAAAATAAATACATTTTGACAAGCTTGAATGACATTATTAAACAAATTGGATGTATATATATGGAATGGAATTTTTTTGCTAGTTCTCACGGAAAGGGAGCCGTTGATGGAGTTGGAGCCGTCACTAAAGAAAAGTGTGGCAAATAACAAAATCTAAAAAACGTTGTTTTACCAGATGCACTATCGTTTTATCAATGTGCACAAAACAACACAAATGGAATTAAAATGAATTTTATGCCATCTGCTCAAATGGAAGGAAGTGAAAAATGTTCCAGGTATATCCCAGTTGCATTCGTTTTGTTGCGATGGCCAACAGTTAGAAGCAGCTAGGACTGCATATTCCATTAAAAAAACTTTATTTGACATTAGTAATACTATTTTCAGTTAAGTTAGTTTCCGTTCTTTGTTTTTACATAGTATATAAGATGAATATACTTATTTTGGTTTTTCTTTATTGAAGATATTTTGTTAAGTTTATAATTTTGGTTGTGAAAATAAATATATTGAATATATTAAAAATCATTTATAATCATCTTTTGCATGTCTAATTACATAAAAAGTAAAAAAAATAAACATAAAAAGTATGATGGAACAAAATTTCGCATGCGACATATCGCGTGCTACAGTGATTAAAATTAAATAAAAAATAAACTACTTAATATTTTTGAATAAAATAAAAAGCATTATTAAGATACATCAATGCATAACATTTAAAAATTAGTCGCATTAATATATTTCTTCAGGTTTCGCTGAAAAGTGTTTGATTTTTTTGCTTTGAAAGCGACTTCTGTTTTTGTCGCATGCGAATGGCTTGATTTTTTGTAATTATCTTGAAAATGAACAATTGGCCAAAATCAACCTTAGCACCAATCATAGTGCTAATCAAGTGCTATAGCTTTCGCCTTTTGTCAAAATAAAATAATGTTTTGGTATATGTTTTTTTTCACTTTGAATGCGTACGAATGACGCATTCGACATTGGAGAAATGCCCATATATATATATATATATATATATGTATGTACATTTGACGTTAAAATTACTTCTAACGTGAAAGTAAGTTCTCCAATGAAATAAAAATCAAATATTTTAAATTTCTTTAGTTTTAATTTCAGGAAATAACTAGATATACGATTGAAGAATAAAATAATTTTAGTATCCCAAAAAACGTATTTTAGTGAGTCCGATACTGAGTAGTATCGATACTTTTTCCCTGATACTTTTTGAGTATCGATACCATGGGCTCTGTTGCTCGACAACAAGTTAATTTGTGTGAATATGATTTTTACGGCTAGCGTACAATAAAAAATCCTCAGCTGACATCCGTCTTCGATCAATACCTTTTGCGAAGTGAAGTCCAAAGCAAAAAGCACAATATATTCTCAGTACACTTAAACCAATTTTACATATGTACATACAAAGTTTGGAGAGCAAGACTAAGGTTACCAGATTGTAAATAATACTAAATATACAATTTAATTGTAATTCAATTGAAATTCATAATAGATAAAAGTATATATAATGCCGCTAATGTTCTCCTCCAACATCCTTCCCCCGTTGAAAGGCCTGACTTTCAAAAACAATTGATCATTCCAACGGAAGGGGTGCAAGCTTTGTTATTGAGCGCCTGATGATACCCTTTGAAGTTTTCACGTCAACAACTCGAATATTGCGTCTTTTCCAGGTATAACAGATGTTACTCGTGCTAGCAACCAATGTTGAGGCGGCGTGTTATCTTCATGGACGATGACTAGTTGACCGACATGTACATTCGGCTGCGATTGTGTCCATTTAGCGCGTCGCTGAAGTGAATGCACGTAGTCCCGTTCCCACAAAGACCAGAACTGTTGCTTTAAATAAGCTACCTTCAGCCATCTATTCAAATAACTCATTTTCTTCTCGCTGTTGTCAGAGTTGCTGTACAGTGTTTCTTCTGGCGCTGGCGTCAGCGTTGAACCTATTAAGAAATGAGCTGGCGTTACAGCTTCAGCATCATTAGGGTCGTCTGTCATTGGTGCAATCGGTCGAGAATTGAGGATTGCTTCCACTTCGATGAAAACTGTTTGAAGCTCCTCAAACGTCAGATGTGCGTTCGCAATATTTTTGAGCACAATGGTTTTCGTGGATTTCACGGCAGCCTCCCAAAGGCCGCCAAAGTGTGGTGCCCTTGGGGGTATAAAACAAAATTCGAAGTTTTTATGAGCGCTAAATGATTTTAAATTGTTGATTGTGTTTTCGCTGAGTAGTTGACTTTTCAAATTGGCCAATTTTGAGGCCGCACCAACAAAGTTTGTGGCATTGTCGCAAAAAATTTTTTCAGGAACACCACGTCGAGAGAAAAATCTGCGCAGGCAGAGCTCAAACGCATTGGTGGACAATTCGCTCACCAACTCGATATGAATTGCCTTTGAGGCAAAGCACACAAAAATGGCCGCATAGGTTTTATACGGTGGTTTACCTCTAATACGGTATGACGTGAAAAAGGGGCCGCAAAAATCAACTCCAGTAATTTTGAATGGTCGCTCGCCGCGCAGGCGATCTGCCGGAAGGTTGCCCATTATTTGCTGTACTAGGCGTGGCTTGTAATGAAAGCAGTGGACACATTGACGGACGACTTTTCTAATTACCTCTCTTGCGTTAACAACCCACAATCGTTGACGCAAAATTGACAAGAGTACTTTCGGTCCGGCGTGTAAATTTGTTCGGTGCAGGTGCTCAATGTAAAGCCAAGTGAATCTATTGCATTTAGGGACTAAAGCTGGAAATTTAGCATCGAATGGCAATTCTGAGTTAGCTAACCGACCACCTACTCTCATCACACATACTGTAGTATTGCGTAACTTCATTTCGTGCAAAAACGGAGCAAGGCGTTGCAAGCTGGATTGTAAAGATTTGTTTTCCTTCAATGCGCTCATTTCAATTGAGTATGAAGATCGCTGAATTTGCGCAATGATTTTCCAAAATGTGTCGTTTAACTCCGCTGCAGGTATATGCACGAGGTCTGTCGCTAACAACGTGTTGTCTGGTCGAAAACCATTGAAACACCGATATACATATGTCAATATGCGAAGTATTCGCATGTACGATGAACAGTCACTTATAAGAGACTCTATGATTGATTTAGCGCTGTTTGTATTTCTGCTAATTAACACTGTCTTGGCTCGTACCTCAATTGGTGCTGGCAATGGCTCGTGAAGTTGTGGCCATTCATCGTCAGATTTTGCTAGGAAGTCTGGGCCCGTGAACCACATGTTAGTGACCAAGTCTGTTGATCGGCATCCACGTGAGATGATATCTGCCGGGTTCTTTGATGACGGAACGTGTCTCCAAGCAATATTAGCGCTGTGCTCTTGAAGTTCCGACACCCTATTCGCTACAAAGCAATGAAGTTTAGACGCGTGCATTTTCATCCACTGCAGCACAATTTTGGAGTCCGTCCAGAAATGTACAGTATTGATGTAAGAATCTAATTTATACGAGAATTTGCGCCAAGTTCGGCTTAATAGCACAGCAGCACAAAGTTCAAGTTTGGGCAATGAAAGTACGCGAGTTGGTGCTACCTTTGACTTCGCGACGAGTAAGCTGACCTTAACGCCAGTTGCTAATTTGGCGCGGACGTATAGGCAGCATCCATATGCTCTCTCAGAGGCGTCTTCGAAGCCATGTATGTCGCATATGTAATTTTTCGATGTGAAGACATAGCGTGGGACTTCGATCCTCGCTAAGGCTCGCAAGTCTTCCGTTAAAGCCTTCCATGTGGTGCTAGAGTGTTCATCAATCGGCGTGTCCCAATTGAGTCCTTTTAGAATCAGATTGCATAAAGATCTTACATCGAATTATAATAGGGCTGATTAAGCCTAGAATATCGAAAATTCGGGCAACAACAGAAAGTATTGAGCGTCTTGTACACGGTTCATTGATTTCAACGTGGTAGCTGAATACAAAATTATCACGATTCGGTTGCCATGCGATACCTAATGCCTTTGTAACCTCATGGTCACCCAATTCAATAAACACTTCGTTTTCGGATGTGGGAGTAATCTCTCTACAATTGCTGCTAAATTTGGTGAGCTGCAGTCCGGCCTTCCGCAGCAATTTAACTAGTTCATTCTTTTTGTATTGCAATTCTTCTATTTGTTCAGCTCCCGTCAAGAGATCATCCACATAGAGATCATTGCGTAGCGTGTTAGCTCCAATGGGAAATTCGTCTTGATGCAAATCAGCGATATGATGAAGTGCTCTAATTGCAAGGAAGGGTGCAGCCGACATTCCGTACGTCACAGTATTTAACGTGTATGTTTCAGTTGGGCTGGTTGGCGCAGATCGCCACAATATTAATTGAAACAGTCTATCTTGCTCGCTGACGACGAATTGGCGATACATCTTGGCTATATCGCCCGTGAGAGCAAACCTATTCAAACGAAACGAAAGAAGCGTTATAATTTAGTCTTGTTGAATGGTTGGCCCCACCATAAGCAATTCGTTTAATGACTGTCCTGATGTTGTTTTCGCAGAGGCGTCAAAGACAACGCGAAGTTTTGTTGTTAAACTCTGCGGTCGCAAAATGCAATGATGAGGTATGTAAAAGTGAGGTTTCATTAAGTTGACATTTTGTGCGAGTGACATATGACCCAGTGAGATATACTCGTTCATGAACTCGGAGTATAGATTCTTGAGTTGTTCATCCCGGCCAAATCTTCTCTCGAGCATTTTGAAACGTTTGCTCGCGTTGTCAAATGAGTTGCCAAGAGCATTTGGCATTGTTTTAAAAGGAAGCCTTACTTGTAGACGGCCGTCCTTCTGCACTCTTACTGTGTTGACGAAATGTTCTTCGCACATTTGTTCTTCGTCAGTAAATTTTGCTGGTTTAGTGATACAGTCTTCAACTTCCCAAAATTTTTTAACAAGTTGTTCAAGACTGCTAGCTTCTTGAACTACATTACACTGCTGCGCCTTACTGATATCAACACTCCCAATACTTCCGCCAACAATCCACCCGTACGCAGAGTTAAGCAAGCAGGGCATATTTGGACCCAGGTTGTATTTACCTTCTCGCATTGCCTCAAAAAATCCCATAGTGTTGATCAAAATATCCACTTTGGTAGATAAATAAAATTGTGGATCAGCAAGAGTTATTCCAGGAGGTAAGCACCATTCTGAGGTGTCAATTGTTTCTTGAGGTTGGTTTGCGCAAATCTTTTTTATTACCGAAAATGTAGAAGACCACTCAAACTCTGAGCAGCGAGACCTTAACGTTGCAAATACGTTGTGACTAATCTTTTGGCGTATACCTGCGATACCGCTCACTTCTTGTTGTACGCGACGCTTTTCAAGCTGCAACAGTTTTGCTGTTTCCTCTGTAATGAAACTAATTTCAGAACATGAATCTAATAATGCGCGAACTAAGTGTAGTTGACCAAATTTGTCTCTAATTTGGACTATTGCAGTTGGGATTATGCCCTTTTTAATAGTGCGTGACACCAACAAGGCGCTTGATTGGGGCATAGCATTATTCGAGTCTTGGACCTTTGATGGAGCGGTAGAAACGGGCATTCGTAAATTGGCACCTTGCGTAAAATTGTGTAGAAGTGTGTGATGAACTGATTGACAAATTTTGCATCTAGATTTTGATTGGCATTCTTTCATGCAGTGCGTCTTTCGTAGACAGTTGAAGCATATGCCAGCCTTGCGTACATAATCGATTCGTTGCTGCAAGGATAACTCCTTGAATTTATTGCAGCTGCTGATATAGTGCGACGGTGAGTTGCAATACACACAGTTCGCATTAGTGGTCACAAACGTCTTTGAAGTTGATGCCTGTTTAACCTTGGGCTTTGCGCCACGCTGATCTGACTGATGATCGCCTTGGCTCTCAAGATATTGACATCGACGGTTTAGAGTGTTGCAACAATCCTCCCATGAGGACAGTTTATCGAAACCTTGCTGCTCGTTGTACTTCGCTTTGGTTTGGGCGTCGACCTTCGAAAGCAGTATGTGTATCATTATGTTGTTCATGATTTCTTCGGCCGACCCTATGGAAAGAAGAGATCCACGTATAGCGGATGCATTATCGACGAGTTTCTGTAGCGTCGTCGCCTCGGGTTGTGTCATCGTTGGTAACGCAAAAAGACTTGAAATTCAATCTAAAAAGATGAGTACGTCGTTGTCGTATCGAGCGTCCAATCGTTCCCACGCCTTGGAGTAGTTATCTTCAGTTATCTGAAAGGACTGCACAACTTCTAGTGCGGGTCCAGACAAACAGTTCAATAAATAATTGAATTTATCTATTGTCGCAATGTATGGGTCATTGTGTATTAAGTTTGCAAACGTGCTTTTGAACCGTTTGAAGGTTGCATACTTGCCGCCAAAGCTTGGCAGCTTCAACTTAGGCAAACGGTTATGGTGTGCAGCTCCAGCAGTCATATTAGTATTTATAAAGGAGCTTTCTGCCATGGGTGGTGCACTAGGACGACGCTTTGCTTGTAATAAAGCCATGATTTTCACCTTTGCGGCGATAAACAATTCTTCTTGTGATGCTCGTGCAGTGTCGGTGCTTTGCAAATTCTCAATCTGCGTTTGAATTTGGCATAATTGACGATAGTGCGAATCTAAAATTTGAAGTCTGCATTCGAGTACTCTTGCGTCCTCCTTGTCACCATCAGAATTTACCTTGTCGTGGAGATTAGTTATATGGCGCTCGAATACATTTCGTTGCGTTCTGAGTAGAACTAGTTTTGCTTCTACTTTGGAGTGATCGTTGCCTGCACTGGCATGCGTAACCTCATCTTCCTCGCCCATATTTAATAAATGTTCAACAAACGAAATTACTAACTCTGTTAATTCGCTCCAGTTAAGCGACAACGGTGCGTAACGCAAGGCAATTCAAGAGAAGCGTTGACAAAGGTGCGAGAGTAAAAAATGCCGTTGATAATACAGATGTACGTATATATAAGCATATACTCACAAGTAAATAGACGAATTGACTATAATGTAAATGGTATGCAAATTTGTGGTATGTGTATACTTATACTTGCAATGTTATGTACTCAGTAGTGTGCACATAAATTTTCATTAGCACATGCTCCACCTATATACATATGTGACAGTACGGTACCTATGTATATGGTTGCTGGGACCCTTTGACTTTCACTTGCTCCAACGATTCCAGGCTTGGTAGCTGATGTTGAAGTGGTGTGAAAAAAATGATGTCTCGATTGGTGTGAGTTGGCGCAACTAATCCAATCGAACCTTTGCGATATTGCGGTGCACAGGTGTGTCCTGTCACGGTCGCCACTAAATGTTGCTCGACAACAAGTTAATTTGTGTGAATATGATTTTTACGGCTAGCGTACAATAAAAAATCCTCAGCTGACATCCGTCTTCGATCAATACCTTTTGCGAAGTGAAGTCCAAAGCAAAAAGCACAATATATTCTCAGTACACTTAAACCAATTTTACATATGTACATACAAAGTTTGGAGAGCAAGACTAAGGTTACCAGATTGTAAATAATACCAAATATACAATTTAATTGTAATTCAATTGAAATTCATAATAGATAAAAGTATATATAACGCCGCTAATGCCAGAATGAGTACTCAGTATCGATACGAAAGTCTGAAATTTCGAACCCTAGATGTGCTGAATTGTCGGTTACTAATACGCGGTAACCAGTTCTTGAAAAAAGAAGTTCGGAACATTACACTGGCCACACACGACGAACATATGTGGGGGCAAGGTCGCCAACAAGCACCCAGTCGTTTGCCGCAGACGGTGAGCGGTTCATATGTGATTTTGTTGTAATAGCATAAAGATGGATAGCACGAAGGCGGATGATTTAATTGCAATGTTTTGACTTAGCTCTTTTATTATTATTATTAGTTTAGTTTGGTAAACAGATGTCCATAGTACACTTGAGATATGGAGGGAACACTTTTCATTGCTTTTAAATGGCGAAACAGATGGCGCCTTTGATGAATTAGAACCCGAACCAATGTATAGGGACGAAGCTCACGTCCCTCAACTGGACCAAGACGAGGTGAGAACAGCAATAAAGCGGCTTAAGAACAACAAAGCCCCCGGAGCCGACGGTATACCGGCTGAGCTGTTCAAAGCCGGTGGCGAAGAGTTGGTGGGGCGTATGTACCAGCTTTTAAGCACAATTTGGTCTGATGAATACATGCCCGAAGAATGGAATCTCAGTGTACTTTGCCCAATCCACAAGAAGGGAGATCCCGCCGTTTGCGCCAATTATCGCGGAATAAGCCTTCTTAATATTGCATACAAGGTCCTGTCGACGATACTGTGTGAAAGACTGAAGCCGTTCACGAACCAGCTGATTGGACCTTATCAGTGTGGCTTCAGACCTGGTAAGTCCACCATTGACCAGATTTTCACAGCACTTCAAATCCTGGAGAAGACACTAGATAAGCAAATCGACACACACCATCTTTTTGTTGACTTTTAAGCTGCTTTTGATAGCACGAAGAGGAGCTGCCTGTACGACGCCATGTCCAAATTTGGGATCCCCGCAAAACTAATACGGCTATGTAGAGTGACGTTGAGCACAACCTTCAGCTCCGTCCAAATTGGGAAGGACCTCTCCACGCCGTTAGAGACCAAACGAGGTTTTAGACAAGGCGATTAACTCTCGTGCGACTTTTTCAATCTGATGCTGGAAAGCGTAATAAGAGCTGCCAATCTGAATCGCAGCGGCACCATATACAGCAAAAGAACGATGCTGCTGGCGTATGCAGATGATATCGATATCCTAGGTCTGAAACAAAGGGACCTAACCGCAGCATTTTGCAGTTTAGAAAAAGGAGCTAAAGAGGTTGGTCTAGCGGCGAACGAGGGAAAGACAAAGTACCTCCTGGCAACATATAAAGAGTCCACGCGCTACGGGACACACGTCACTGTTGGCAGATATAACTTTGAAGTAGTGAAGGACTTTGTCTACCTAGGATCCAGCATAAACACCACCAACAATGTCAGCCTGGAGATCAAGCGAAGAATAACTCTTGCCAACAGGTGCTACCTTGGACTCGGTAGGCAATTGAAAAGCAGAGCCCTCTCTCGACGAACGCTCTACAAATCTCTCATCATGCCCGTCCTTTTATATGCCGCAGAATCTTGGACGATGTCGAGCAAAGATGAGAAGGCTTTGGGGGCTTTCGAGAGAACTATTCTACGCAAAATCTACGGCCCTGTTTTCGTGGATGGCGGATATCGGAGAAGATGGAATGAGGAACTGTATGAGCTTTTTAACGACATGGACATAGTAAAGCGCATAAAAATACAGCGATTGCGTTGGCTTGGACATGTTGTACGCATGGATGACGACTCTCCGGTGAAAAGATCATTCGACTCCGCACCCATGGGTGGACAACGAAAGCAGGGCCGCCCACGAACGCATTGGAAGGACCAAGTGCAGAAGGACCTGTCTGCGCTCGGGATAACCAACTGGCGCAAATTCGCGCAGGAGAGAAGCAATTGGAAAAGCTTTTTGGTCTCGGCTCAAACCGACAAACGGTTGTTGTGCCAAATAAGAAGAAGAAGAAGATTAGTTTAGTTTATTCTTAGCCAATTAATACAAAAAATTCTTATAGGCTAAGTGGAGGAACACCTAAAGAATACGGACTCTTGAGCCAGGGAAAAAAAGTGGGTGTGGCCCGCCCCTTTTCCGGGTTTTAACGGCATATTTTTTTTTTGTGCAAATTGACAGGGGCGGCGATAGGGGGGGCTAAACGTGGAATTTTCCCCATTTTCAAAAGTTTGTTTCGAAAACTATTGAACCGATTTTCTAAATATGGACACAGTTGGAAAGGTGATTGAAGGGCCTTTCAATCGATATATATATCTATGTATATAATGTATACACATTGAGAGAAAAAGTAAAAAACGAAATTATGGCAATTTTTTTATAAAAATGTGTTTTTCTTTAAAAAATACGTAATTAACTATATTAACAGATATGTTTATCAGAAAGACCACAAAAATACCGTTAATTTGATATATGCCTTGTAGCAAAAATTCTTGTGGATATCATATTTGACTAAATATATATAAAAAATATAGTTTTATATGAAAAAGGAAAAGCGATTGAGTTGTAGAATTAAATGGATAATTAATCAAGCTACGCTATCCACAGTATTTTTGGGTAGAATTCCTTTCTGCGTAGGCGGCCTTCGGCCGCGCTTAGGGACTATAACCCTCACACCGTAGAATTCTTTTTTCTGTGTTGCCAAATATAAGGGGCTGAACACCTTTTGCAGAGAACACCTGTCTGCGTAGGCGGCCTCTGGCCGCGCTTAGGGATTATAACCCTCACAACGTAGAATTCTCCTTTCTGTGTTGCCAAAGAAAAGGGGCAGAACACCTTTTCCAGAGAACAGCTTTTTGCGTGGAATTCTCCTTTCTGCGTGCGAAGAAAAGGAATAGAAACCCCCTTTCCACAAACGTATTTTTCTTGTGCATTATTTAGGGGTTTTTAAAGTTGAAATACAAATTGTATTAATAGAGTGGCAGCACCAGTTTTCCTCCATCTTATTTATATTAACTACACCAGACTTTACTTTTTCTCAAAATATGTTGCAATTATATTGTTACGATTATCCTTGAACCCTCGTCCGGATTTCCCAAATCCTCCAGTTCGTATCGCTGGATTGTTAAATAAAGGCTAACGATGACCAAATGGTAGTACAATTAACTTTATTGTACAACAAACAATTTTACAATACTTGCTAATACAGTAAAAACACTACAATACTTGTTAAAGCAATTACAACGCTTTACTA